CTGGTTTGGCATCCATAAAGGTGTGTGGCTTCCCCGTGGCTGTTCAACCTATTTATGGACAGATGCTTGGAAAATTGGAAAGTTGAAGAATACGGATTAAGAATGGGTTTGTTAACCGTCAAATTCCTCTTGTACGAAGATGATCAAGCTATTCTTGCGTCGTCGGCGGACGAGTTGCAAATGATGGTTACATTAATGAACATATCATTAAAAGAAATGGGTATGAAAGTGAACGCAAATAAGACGAACGTTATGGTTTTTGAAAGAGAAGAAAGTAAAACGATATGTGAAATAAGAATAGAAGGGGAGTTGATCGAGCAAGTAGATGAGTTTGTATATTTGGGTTGTGTATTTAGCAGGGATGGAAGATATGATAAGGATATAAACGACGAGTGAACGCAGGAAAGAGAGCGAATGGGGCCCTACACTTTATTGGGAAGAGTCAAAATATATCAAAATGGCACGTATGGCAATTCACAATACTGTGTTGGTGCCTACTTTAACGTGTAATAGTGAAAGTTAGGTGTGGCAGAAGAAACAAGAGAATAGAATAAACGCAGTAGAAATGCGGTTGTTAAAGAGTATGTTAAGGCTGAATCTGAATGACAGGGTGAGAAATTGTAAGAGTGTGGTTTACAATATGATGTTGTGACCAGGATTAAGAAAGGAATGCTTTGGTGGTTTGGTCATGTGGAAAGAATTAATGAGGAAAGAGTGACAAAGAAAAGGAGACGGTTCAAAATTGTATGAAGCGCGGGCCTGGTTTTGTACAAATAGGGAAATAAATTAAAATAATATGTTACACCACTTCTGTTCATTCAAATCCACGAATTTGCCTTTATTTCAGGGGTACTAATATTTTATTCTTTCCAAAAACTGCAACACTAATGGAAAATTAAAGTCGTTTTGACGTTAGCTATCAATTGTCATGAGGTCATTGGTCAATTTATTGACCTTTTTTATAACTGATTAAATAAAACTAAATTTACGGATTTTATTGCGTTTATTTAACAGATATTACTTATTTTTTAATAACTGGCTTTACGGCTCTGGGTTCTAGCCCTTCTGAGCCTGATATTTATTGACAGCTATTTGAATTCTAAAATGCTGTGTTATTCTTTTCACTGATACTTTATCAGGTAGATTTATTGTGTACAACAGCTAAAATGTCTCGAAACTAGTACAGGTCAAAAAAGGTTGTATTTTTTTGATAAAACACTACTAGTAAGTAAAAGTACTAACTAATTGCAGACAAGAAGATTTTTAATATAAATTATTATTCATATTTAGTGCCAGATAGCTCAAAACCGATATTAAATGTGAAAAGAAAGTAAATCCGTTTTTCTGCGATTAAAATCTACCCTGAGATGTATACTAATTTATTGCACTAGTAATACATAATTTATTTAACTTTAGGCTAACCGTTTTAGGATTGATAAACTAAATAACCCTGAATACTAATTTCTGGTTAGGTATAATATGTTTCTATCTGGCCTGCAGTATGAAGGTGCTAATTTACAATCATATAACAGGCCTTTAACGTGTCAAAGTTACGCCTTGAGCCTTGATAGACATTAAAGCCTGGATAATGTCATAAAAAAGGCTTACAGTTCCATGAAGTATAGAAATTAAAGCATAAAAGTTATTGAGTGGCTACTTAAAGTAACATAAATAAAACAGATTTATTTATTACTTATATATCCTACTTCAAAATTGTCTCGCCAACAGTATATATGTATAATAAACTCTGCCCGAGAGTGATGGCGAGACTTTATACGACCTTTTATTAAAACAGAGTATTGTTGGAATGGTATTAATTGAGTCATATTTCCACCTGAAACGAAATATGCTGTCTTATATGTTCCCCATAATATCTTCTTGCCTGCTTAATTTGGTATATCCCTAATCCAAAACAATTTAAGATCAAACATGGTCATTACAGGAAAAATACCTAATTCTGGAAGTTGTACATCAATTCTAGTGAACTGGGCCCGGTATCTGTTAATCCTACTGGCTGCAATTAGTTCTGCCAATTTATTTTGCATATGTAACCTTTCTAGAGCACGATTTAATATCATAAGGTCACCCGGCCTATTAACAATTACTGGATGGAAAGCATTAATCATTGCTGCCCAAATACGCAAATCGTCCATTAGATGGGTGGCACATATGTTGAATTGGTCCTGTCAGAATAATTTATAATCTCTTTTAAATCTTCCATTTACTACCTTTACCACCCATCTACACAAGGTCACAGATCTGGATTTATTGGCATTCGTTGTGGACAATTGATTCTCTCCTTTTTCACAATTCTCTGGCTTCTGTACTACATAGCCCAATCCTTGGAGAAAATAAATAGCATCTCGAAAGCCTCTGTCTGTCTTTGTTTTTTTTTTTCTGGAAAAAGTAATAAGAGGATTTTGTAGGTAAATATAGATCCCGTTGCATTTGACAATTGGTTTCCTCTCTTCTCCGTTACCAAACAAGCCTTCAGGAGATATTAATAAATTTTTGCTTATCAGATCATTTCCGTGATATGATTAAGCCCCAAGTAGTGGGGTAAACAAACTTATTAAAGCTCCTCGAGCTGTTTGGAGTAACCTGATAAGTTTGGTTTTACTAATACCTAACAGAGAGGAGTTTCTTTCATGAGAGTCCCCTGTTCTTATTTTCATTAAATATGCTTCTAACGCTGTTATTTTTGCAATTTACAACTCAATGCTAATTTGATTTAAGATATTAAAATAATTTTCTTTATTGATGCCCGTCCAGTACATAAAGAGGTTCTCGTCGAATTAATTAAGCTTTCCAAAGTACAAATTACTATTAGTTAAATCTTGACATAGGCTGAGGTTTAACATTTATTCCTTCCTTTGTGAAATTATTTGAGAATTCATTTTCTTCTAAAAAGTCCAATTGTAAGTAGTTCGTTGTTCAGCACAAATTCTGCAATTTTATGTGACATATATTTTTATTAATAGCAAAATTTAAAAAAATCGGCCACAATGAGCCTCTCTGGTTTTGCACAAAATGGAACGAAACAATGCCTACTAGACTTTGGTGTATGCTTATTATCATCTGCCAGGCTTATCGAAGGTGTTGGTGTTCCAAGCTGCACTGCCCTATCTTCAGCAATGTGCACATATTCTTGTGTCCGTGCCCAGCAATCAACACATATCTTATGTGTTGATTGCTGAGCTGATAGATCTTCTGGTAACTGAAACAGAAAATATTTAATTAAAGGTAACTTGTTATGAACAATAGGTTTAAAAACTAAAACTATATAAATAAACCATTGACCGTAAACGGCGATAGTCTTAGTGAATTAATATATGACATAATATATTAGTGGGTATATTATCATTTCAGTATATGTGTTTACGCCCGATTGCCTCGAGCGGAGTGAGGAAACGGTTAGCGTTGCGCGGGAGGCGGAGGCTTGCTACGTCGTACGCGCACAGCAAGCGGGCAGTCGGCCGAAAACCTTAATCGGTGAAACCGCGCCAGTTGAAGGTCGAACGTTACATAATCTCCCGGGTTGAGTTAGGGGTCGCGAGGTTGATATAATTTTGCGTCGAAAGGGCGGTCTCCTTGTGTTATCTTATATTTGTACGTAACCGTGATAACTAGGCAGTCCAAGAGCAGCTGGGCTATCAGGTTACATATTGTACACATTACTGCACACTAATCACATGCACCTCACTTGCCACTGACGCCCCTTGTGGTGAACCCTACCTCCAACAATCTGTAAGTGGCTTGCTTCTTTGTAAGCCGTTATAATAATAATAATAATAATAATAATAATAATAATAAGGCGTAGGGAATTGACGACCCCATCGCCCGCTGACGTAACAGTTAAGTGACAAAACTGCTACGTCAACGCAGTCAGTCAGCGCCTTGCGAGAGGTGTGAGCGCCGTGCCGCGGCAGAATTTAGGGTGCAGAGGCCCGTTTGTGCTTATGGCTACACACGAAACGGTGCCGGGCCTGGGCGTCTCCCGTTAATGGACGCCCAAATAATGGATGATGGATAAAAAGATAGTGCGCAAAGGGCCGCTGCCTGGGGGTCGCCGGGGCGCGTCTGGAGCTGGCGCTGGACGCGGCAGCATGCGGGCCGCCAGCCGAGCGCGAGGAGCTGCACGGTCATCTACCAGCCCTCCGCATCCATCATCCCCACCAGAAGGCTTGGTGTCGGCTGGGTCTTCTCGGACTCAGCAAGCGGCACCCGCCGCTGGTGGAGCACGTCGCATGCGTTGGTCACAAGAAATGAATGCAAACGCACTGCGGGCGTACTTTAGGGCAAAAGGGGAAGAAACTGGATGTTTGGCGTATCGGGCTAGGATGCATCGTCTTTTTGCTGAGCTGGAGCCATCTTTAATCGTCACAGAGCAAAACCTGGCAGACCGAGTTCGGTATATCTTGCGCTCAAATATATTTGATGTCGCCGAACTCGAACGGCTACGACGTGAGGCTGTTCCCTCGTCGGATGAGAATGCTACGGCTGAGGATGCGGCGCCACAAATGGTAGAGCAACCCGCAAACGTGGATGCCGCCGTGAATACCCCAGTTGTGGTTGATTCAAACGATGATGGAACAGTCGCCCAGGAACTGGAATTAGAGCATATGAGGAGTATATTGGAAGAGGCGATTGTGGAAACGCGCAGTACGCCTCTCGAAAATCGACCGCGACTTCCCCCGCATAGCCCTAAGCAAGCGGAATCGGGCTGTCGTGAGGGCTCTGAACCCAATGCTGGTTACCTATTTGGAAGCCAGCCGGGACCTTTGCGAGACGGACTCAATTCTTTTTGGCGCCGCGCTGGCAGTCTGCCGTATCATAGGCGCCAAGGTTTCCACGGCTGGACGCGCTACTGGCCATAGTAGCGCTATCCCAGCATGGAGAAGAAGAATTGAGGAACGTATCGCAAAGGCTAGAGCTCCATCGGCAGACTAATATGCTTCAGATCAGGCAACAACAGGCCAAGAATTGTGCGCACCGTCAGGATGGCGTTTGCTGGGACAAATGTCAGTTTGTCCCAGCCGGATATAACGCAAAAACTGACGGAGCGCATAGATGATCTGAAGCAGAGAATCGCTGCTTGGGGAAAGCGGATTCGGCGATATACCGAGAGGTCGACACGGTTCAACCAGAATCGTCTCTTCCAGAGTGATCAGAAGAGGCTCTATGAATCATTGGAGCGACCAATGGTAAGTGGAACGGGTCCAGCACCGAATCAGGCCGACACTGTAGCATTCTGGCGCGGCCTGTGGTCAGAGCCCGTAAACCACAGCGAGGGCCCTTGGACGGAAGTTGTGGCGAGTCAGTGTGCGGGTATTACGCCCATGGACCCCGTCATCATAACGCCGGATGACGTAGCTGAGGCGGTTCGTAGGGCCCCGAACTGGAAAAGTCCGGGGCTTGACGGGCTGCATCACTACTGGCTGAAGGGGTTCATGGTGTGTCACTCTGTGCTCGCCCGACAGTTTCAAGAGGCTCTCAACCAGAAGTCGCTCCCAAGCCTCTTCACTACTGGGATCACTCATTTAGTTCCTAAAGACCAGGGTACCACAGACCCGAGCAAATACCGCCCCATCACGTGTCTACCGACCATATACAAGACACTAACATCCATTTTGAGCGCGAGAATCACTTGTCACCTGGACTCAAATCAAGTGATGTCGCGCGCTCAAAATGGATGTCGGGGCGGTGGTCGTGGAACCAAGGAACCACTCCTCATTGACGCGGTCATTGGCAAAGTGGTGAAACGCAACCGTCGGAACTTCTCCGCCGCCTGGATAGACTACAGAAAGGCATTCGACTCGGTGCCCCATACATGGCTAAAGAGAGTCCTCGAGCTGTACAAGATAGACTGTACAGTTAGAGACTTCCTCGAGCAGTGTATGGGGCAGTGGAGTACGATCCTTTGTCATCTAGGCGAGCGGATGATGGCTGCGGAGAACCACATAAGGATAAGAAGGGGTATCTTCCAGGGCGATTGTCTGAGTCCAATCTGGTTCTGCCTCTCTCTGAACCCTCTCAGTACCTTACTGGAGGGCTCCGGGAGGGGATTTCAGCTACGGAAAGGAGGGACAAAAGTGACCCACCTTTTCTATATGGATGACCTCAAGTTATTCGCCTCCAGTCGCTCCCATCTTATGGAATTGCTAAACATCACTTGTGAATTTAGCAATTCCATTGGAATGGAGCTGGGGACGGATAAGTGTGCGGTCCTCCATGTTGAAAGGGGAAGGGTTGCTAACTCTGAGGGCGTAGACTTATCTATGCCCGTCAACTTAAGGACCCTTTCCGAGGCTGAAACATACCGATACCTGGGTATGTCACAAAACATCGGTATCGATGAGACTGGTATGAAACAGTCAGTTTGCGACGTGTTTTATGCACGCTTGACCAAAGTGCTTAACAGCCTTTTGTCCGGTGTGAATAAGGCACACGCATATAACGGCTGGGTCATGCCTGTCCTCATGTATACCTTTGGCATACTCAGGTGGACTCAGACTGAACTTAACGCCCTGGATAGAAAAGTCCGCACTACAATGACGTCCCATAGGATGCATCATCCGAGATCGTCGGTAATGAGGCTGTACTTGCCGCGGAAGCATGGTGGTCGTGGCTTCTTGAGCGCGCTCACCATGCATAATCGCGAAGTGTGCAGCCTCCGTGATTACTTCCTGGCGAGATCGGATGATCCATTCTATAAGGACGTCATTTCTTGTGATAAAGGACTTACCCCTCTATCCTTAGCCAACGAGCAATGGCAAGACCCGGCAGTGCAGAGCATTTCCGACCGGGAGACCGTATGGAAGGAGAAGGAGCTCCACGGGAGGTTCTACAAGGCTCTACATGAGCCTTTCGTAGACACAGTAGCCTCCCTCCACTGGCTACGCTTTGGTGATCTCTTCGGGGAAACCGAGGGTTTTGTCTGTGCAATACAGGATCAGGTTATTAAGACCAACAACTATCGGAGATACATCCTAAAGGATGGCACCGTCGACATCTGTCGAGCTTGTCGCCATCCCGGTGAGTCACTTAGGCATGTTATCTCCGGTTGTTCGGCGCTTTCTAACTCTGAGTACTTGCACAGGCACAACCTAGTAGCCAGAATTCTACACCAGGAGCTCGCTCTGAAATACGGTCTCGTGGATCGGAAATTGCCGTATTACAAGTACTTGCCGGAAGCCGTGCTCGAAAATGATCGCGCCAGGCTCTATTGGGACCGGGCCATCATCACAGACAGGACTATTCTTGCGAATAAGCCTGATATTGTGCTGATGGACCGGGCACAGTCAAGGATATTTTTGGTCGACATTACCATTCCGTATGACGAGAACCTCGTGAAAGCCGAAACAGACAAGCAAACAAAATATCTGGACCTGGCTCACGAGGTAACCGACATGTGGGGTGGTCTGCCGACCGAAATTATTCCTGTAGTCGTCTCTGCAAACGGGCTAATCCCAGTCAGCCTCTCGGGTCATCTGAGGCGGCTGGGACTACGTGGCGGACCGCTCCAGGTTCAAATGCAGAAGGCGGTGCTCCTCGATACCGCCCGCATCGTCCGCCGGTTTCTTTCCCTTTCCCCCTAACCCTCGGCCGTTTGGTCTCCCCTGCCGAGGGCCTCCATCTGGTTGGGCTTTTATTTATTTATGTACTTTTATATTTATTTTATGTTATTGATATTTATGTATATTTGTCTTTTCATTTTCATTTATAATTATATATTTATAGCACCCAACCAGATGAGAAAACTATATAGATACCCCAAAATAATAATAATAATAGAGGCGTAGGGAAGTGACGACCCCATCGCCCGCTGACGTAACAGTTATGTGACAAAACTACTACGTCGGCGCAGTCAGTCAGCGCCCTGCCAAGAGGTGTGAGCGCCGTGCCTAGGCAAAATTGTGGGTGCAAAGGTCCGTTTGTGCATATGACCGAACCACGAAACGGTGCCGGGCTTGGGCGTCTCCCGTTATTTGGCGCCCATAAATGGATGATGGTACAAAGAGGAACGCGCATAGGGCCGCTGCCTGGGGGGTCGCCGGGGCGCGTCTGGAGCTGGCGCTGGACGCGGCAGCATGCGGGCCGCCAGCCGAGCGCGAGGAGCTGTACGATCACCTAGCAGCCCTCCGCATCCATCATCCCCACCAGAAGGCTTGGTGTCGGCTGGGTCTTCTCGGACTCAGCAAGCGGCACCCGCCGCTGGTGGAGCACGTCGCATGCGTTGGTCACAAACAATGAACGCAAACGCACTGCGGGCGTACTTTAGGGCAAAAGGGGAAGAAACCGGATGTTTGGCATATCAGGCTCGGATGCGTCGCTTTTTTGCAGAGCTGGAGCCATCTCTATCCGTCACTGAGCAAAACCTGGCAGACCAAGTTCGGTACATCCTGCGCTCCAACATATTTGGTGACGCCGAACTCGAACGACTACGACGTGAGGCTGTTCCCTCATCGGATGGAAATGCTACGGCTGGGAATGCGGCGCCACTAATTGCGCAGCAAACTGCAAATGTGGACGCTGCCGTCAATATTCCATTTGTGGTTGATTCAGACGATAATGGAATAGTCCCCCACGAACTAGAGAAAATGAGGAGCATACTAGAAGAGTCGATGCTGGAAACGCGCAGCATGGCTCTCGAAAACCGCGACTTCCCCGCATACCCCTTAGCAAGCGAAATCGGGCTGTCGTGCGGGCTCTTAACCCAATGCTGGTGACCTATTTGGAAGCCAGCAGGGACCTTTGCGAGACGGACTCAATTTTTTTGGCACCGCACTGGCAGTATGCCGTATTATTGGCGCTAAACTTCCCAAGGCTGGACGTGCTACTCAACAAGGTAGTGCCATCCCAGCCTGGAGAAAAAGAATCGAGGACCGTATCGCAAAGGCAAGGGCCCTTATCGGCAGACTGACAAGCTTCAGGTCGGGTAATATTAGACCGAGAGTTGTGCGCACAGTTAGAATGGCGTTTGCTGGGACAAATATTAGTTTGTCCCAGCCGGATATCACGCAGAAACTAACGGAGCGCATAGATGACCTAAAGAAAAAATCGCTGCTTGGGGGAAGCGGATTCGACGATTTAGCGAGAGGTCAAGGCGGTTCAACCAGAATCGTCTCTTCCAGAGTGATCAGAAGAGGCTCTATAAATCATTGGAGCGACCAGAGGTATGTGGAGCGGGCCCAGGACCAGATCAGGCTGACACTGTCGCATTTTGGCGTGGCCTGTGGTCAGAGCCCGTAAACCACAGCGAGGGCCCTTGGATGGAAGTTGTGGCGAGCCAGAGTGCAAGTGTTACGCCTATGGACCCCGTCACCATAACGCCTGAAGACGTGGCTGAGGCAGTCCGTAGGGCCCCGAACTGGAAAAGTCCGGGGCTGCACGGACTGCATCATTACTGGCTGAAGGAGTTCGTAGTGTGTCACGCTGTGCTCGCCCGACAGTTTCAAGAGGCTCTCGATCAGAAGTCGCTCCCGAGCCTCTTCACTACTGGGATCACTCACTTAGTTCCTAAAGATCAGTATACCACAGACCCGAGCAAATACCGTCCCATCACGTGTCTACCCACTATATATAAGACACTGACATCCATTTTGAGCGCGAGAATCACTCGTCACCTGGAGCTAAATCAGGTGATGTCACGCGCTCAAAATGGATGTCGGGGCGGTGGTCGTGGAACCAAGGAACCACTCCTCATTGACGCGGTCATTGGCAAAGTGGTGAAACGCAACCGTCGGAACTTCTCCGCCGCCTGGATAGACTACAGAAAGGCATTTGAGTCGGTGCCCCATACATGGCTCGGGTCCTCGAGCTGTACAAGATTGACTGTACAGTTCGAGACTTCCTCAGGTAGTGTATGGGGCAGTGGAGTACGATCCTCTGTTATCAGGGCGAGCGGATGATGGCTGCGGAGAACCACATAAGGATAAGAAGGGGTATCTTCCAGGGCGATTATCTGAGTCCAATCTGGTTCTGCCTTTCTCTGAACCCTCTCAATACCTTACTGGAGGGCTCCGGGAGAGGATTTCAGCTACGGAAAGAAGGAACAAAAGTGACCCACCTTTTCTATAAGGATGACCTCAAGTTATTCGCCTCCAGTCGCTCCCATCTTATGGAATTGCTAAACATCACTTGTGAATTTAGTAATTCCATTGGAATGGAGCTGGGGACGGATAAGTGTGCGGTCCTTCATGTTGAAAGGGGAAGGGTTACTAGCTCTGAGGGCATAGATTTATCTATGCCCGTCAACCTAAAGACCCTTTCCGTGCCTGAAACATACCGATACCTGGGTATGTCACAGAACATCGGTATCGATGAGGCTGGTATGAAACAGTCAGTTTGCGACGTGTTTTATACACGCTTGACCAAAGTGCTTAACAGCCTTTTGTCCGGTGTGAATAAGACACACGCATATAACGGTTGGATCATGCCTGTCCTCATGTATACCTTTGGCATACTCAGGTGGACTCAGACCGAACTTAACGCCCTGGATAGAAAAGTCCGCACTACCATGACGTCCCATAGGATGCATCATCCGAGATCGTCGGTAATGAGGCTGTATGTTGTGGGCGTGATTTTCTGAGCGCGCTCACCATGCATAACTGTGCAGCCTCCGTGATTACTTCCTGGCGAGATCTGATGATCCATTCTATAATGACGTCATTTCTAGTGATAAAGAGCTTACCCCTCTATCCTCAGCCCACGAGCAATGGCAGGACCCAGCAGTGCTTAGCATTTCCGACCGGGAGACCGTATGGAAGGAGAAGGAGCTCCACGGGAGGTACTACAGGGCTCTTCATGAGCCCTTCGTAGATACAGTCGCCTCCTTCAACTGGCTACGTTTCGGTGACCTCTTCGGGGAAACCGAGGGTTTTGTCTGTGCAATACAGGATCAGGTTATTAAGACCAACAACTATCGGAGATACATCCTAAAGGATGGCAACGTCGACGTCTGTCGAGCTTGTCGCCATCCCGGTGAATCACTTAGGCATGTCATCTCCGGTTGTTCGGCGCTTTCTAACTCTGAGTACTTGCACAGGCACAACCTAGTAGCCAGAATTCTGCACCAGGAGCTCGCTCTGAAATACGGTCTCGTGGACCGGAAATTGCCGTATTACAAGTACTTGCCGGAAGCCGTGCTCGAAAATGACTGCGCCAGGCTCTACTGGGACCGGGCCATCATCACAGACAGGACTATTCTTGCGAATAAGCCTGATATTGTGCTGATGGACCGGGCACAGTCAAGGATATTTTTGGTCGACATTACCATTCCGTATGACGAGAACCTCGTGAAAGCCGAAACAGACAAGCAAACAAAATATCTGGATCTGGCTCACGAGGTGACCGACATGTGGGGTGGTCTGCCGACCGAAATTATTCCTGTAGTCGTCTCTGCAAACGGGCTAATCCCAGTCAGCCTCTCGGGTCATCTGAGGCGACTGGGACTACGTAGCGGACCGCTCCGGGTTCAAATGCAGAAGGCGGTGCTCCTCGATACCGCCCGCATCGTCCGCCGGTTTCTTTCTCTTTCCCCCCTAACCCTCGGCCGTTTGGTCTCCCCTGCTTAGGGCCTCCATCTGGTTGGGCTTTTATTTATTTAAGTATTTTTATATTTATTTTATATTATTGATATTTATGTATATTTATCTTTTCATTCTCATTTATAATTATATATTTATAGAACCCAACCAGATGAGAAAACTATATAGATACCCCATAATAATAATAATAATAACTCATGTATACCTTTGGCATACTCAGGTGGACTCAGACTGAACTTAACGCCCTGGATAGAAAAGTCCGCACTACCATGACGTCCCATAGGATGCATCATCCGAGATCGTCGGTAATGAGTCTGTACTTGCCGCGGAAGCATGGTGGTCGTGGCTTCTTGAGCGCGCTCACCATGCATAATCGCGAAGTGTGCAGCCTCCGTGATTACTTCCTGGCGAGATCGGATGATCCATTCTATAAGGACGTCATTTCTTGTGATAAAGGACTTACCCCTCTATCCTTAGCCAACGAGCAATGGCAAGACCCGGCAGTGCAGAGCATTTCTGACCGGGAGACCTTATGGAAGGAGAAGGAGCTCCACGGGAGGTTCTAGAAGGCTCTACATGAGCCTTTCGTAGACACAGTAGCCTCCCTCCACTGGCTACGCTTTGGTGATCTCTTCGGAGAAACCGAGGGTTTTGTCTGTGCAATACAGGATCAGGTTATTAAGACCAACAACTATCGGAGATACATCCTAAAGGATGGCACCGTCGACATCTGTCGAGCTTGTCGCCATCCCGGTGAGTCACTTAGGCATGTTATCTCCGGTTGTTCGGCGCTTTCTAACTCTGAGTACTTGCACAGGCACAACCTAGTAGCCAGATTTCTACACCAGGAGCTCGCTCTGAAATACGGTCTCGTGGATCGGAAATTGCCGTATTACAAGTACTTGCCGGAAGCCGTGCTCGAAAATGATCGCGCCAGGCTCTATTGGGACCGGGTCATCATCACAGACAGGACTATTCTTGCGAATAAGCCTGATATTGTGCTGATGGACCGGGCACAGTCAAGGATATTTTTGGTAGACATTACCATTCCGTATGACGAGAACCTCGTGAAAGCCGAAACAGACAAGCAAACAAAATATCTGGACCTGGCTCACGAGGTGACCGACATGTGGGGTGGTCTGCCGACCGAAATTATTCCTGTAGTCGTCTCTGCAAACGGGCTAATCCCAGTCAGCCTCTCGGGTCATCTGAGGCGGCTGGGACTACGTGGCGGACCGCTCCAGGTTCAAATGCAGACGGCGGTGCTCCTCGATACCGCCCGCATCATCCGCCGGTTTCTTTCCCTTTCCCCCTAACCCTCGGCCGTTTGGTCTCCCGTGCCGAGGGCTCCCATCTGGTTGGATCTTATTTATTTATGTATTTTTTGTGTTTATTTTATTTTATTGATATTTATGTATATTTATCTTTTCATTTTAATTTATAATTATATATTTATGGAACCCAACCAGGTGAGAAAATTATATAGATATCCCAATAATAAATTTATTGCCTCTAAAACACACAGTCACATTCACGTTAAAACAAAAGAACATTATAATTATTTGAGACAAAAGGAGATGGCTCAGCTTTGTCTGTAACTAGTTACAGATCTCATACAGAGCTGTTTTTCAGCCACTCCCTCCTCCCTGAGGTGTTGTGGGGTAGTCCAAAGTAGCAGGCTCCCCATTTACCTGACTTATACTTTTAAACTACGTACAAAGGAATTAAATATTATATCAATATAAAACATTTTTTAATTAAAAAAATATTATATAAATATTAAATCGCAAATACAAAAAAAAAATTAAAAACATGAAAGACAAAAATAAAAACATTTAAAAATGTGCATAAAACAACCATTACGAAATGTGCGTGTGCGTGTGCGTGTGCGTATGCGTGCGTGCGTGCGTGTGTGTGTGTGTGTGTGTGTGTGTGTGTGTGTGTGTGGCGTGTGCGTGTGCGTGTGAGTGTGCGTGTGCGTGTGCGTGTGCGTGCGCGTATGCGTGTGTGTGTGCGTGTGCGTGTGCCTGTGCGTGTGCGTGTGTGTGTGCGTGTGGCTGTGCGTGTGCGTGTGCGTGTGCGTGTGCGTGTGCGTGTGCTTGTGAGTGTGCGTGTGCGTGTGCGTGTTCGTGTGCGTGTGCGTGTGCGTGTGCGTGTGCGTGTGCGTGTGCGTGTGCGTG